AATAATCAATACAACTATTAAAAAAAAATCTATTAAGAAAATATGAACAGAAAAGTATTGACAGGATTATTTCATATTTAATCTTTGCTTCAAACCAAATTCCCTACTTATATGCACATTAGTATTTGTAAATTTATAATAGAAGTAAAATTACCCAAATAATTTTTACATGTAATATGTTAAACAAATAATAAAAATTTTCTTCAATGTACTAAGCTACTTGACTTTTAAAAAGAAACGCACCTTACTACTTAAGCTCTCAAGATTTTGAATACAGTAATCGATAATTAAGTTAACTATTTATGTTGGTTGCTTGGTTGATTTTGTTTAGCGACATATCAAACTATAAGTGTTATTCAATCCCGAGATCTACATAATTTTATGGCTTCAGCTAAATATATTTTGAACGAAATTGTATGCCTTCAACTACAGATAAAATGTATTGTTGGTCCTTTTACTAATATATATATATATAAAAGCAAATATATGGATATAGATCAGACAGTATGAAGAAAAGTATAAGGAAAAATAAAAATCCGAATATGCAAATATGCTGTTTTAATGTTATTTCAATGTCGACGTCAGACGTTTCGGTCTAGTAGACCTTCTTCAGGACATAGTTATTAACATTAGACGATATACAAGTTAACATGAAAAGAGGATAGAATAAGAGTAAGACTAATCGGAACAGAATAACTGAAACTTTTAAGATAGCGTTCCGTTTCACAATATTAAAACAGCATATTTGCATATTCGGATTTTTGCTTTTCCATATATTTTTCTTCGTATATACATATATATATATATGCTATAATATATATATATATTATGATATATATATATATATATATACTATGATATATATATCGTTTTGTTTTTATTTGTTATTTTGGTTTAATAAATGCATTTCATTTTTGCTTTGGAAAAAGTCCACATTGGACGAAACGCGTTGGCTAATATTCCAGTTTTCCTATTGTCTTTTACATTTATAAATATAATCTTTTTCTACAGGTTAACTCTGAGAAATTTTTCATATCTATATATATATATATATATATATATATATATATATATATATATATATATATATAAAGTGAAATACGAGACTGCATCAGTAACTAAGCAGACTGGTACATTAGCTGATATTTTATCAAAACATTTAACTTTACAATAATTGATCAGTGTGATGAATACTACACCTCTTTGCATTCACTGCATGAGGGTGTTGAAACAAAATGGCTATTTTATAACATATTTATGTTATAATTTTTTTTATAAATAATAATTATATATATATATATATATATATATGTGTGTGTATGTATTGTGTTTCTCATTTGAGAAATAAAAGTGTCGAGGATTAAGTCGAATGTGAATTAATATTAAGCGCAACCAATGTTTGCCATTCAAATTCAATCCGTCTATCAGCAATAATACATCAATTCAGCTTTCAATGTCTGCTAGGTGGCTTACGAATCCTCGTAACCGTTTCTACCGGTCGGCACACCTGATTAGTGACACAATAGTGCTTCATTACAACAAGTCTCAAGTATTTCATCTCTTGATAAATTTCCTTGTGCTTTAGTCAGAAGCTGCTCCGAGCACAAGCTTACACCAATGGATGTGTTCAATCAGAAGAATCCCTGATCAGATATGCAAAGTGTGTGACAAGCTAATTAACAACTATTCAATGCTAATTACGAATTTCATCAAGTCCTTTGCATGCGGTCGGCCAGTATCGACCCGTATTGTTAACACGCTGATTGTGCCACGGAGCTTTTCAACTTAAGGACAGTTCACATTGCATCCGCATTGACATCACACACTCTTACCGTTATGTCAAGAATGGCGATCGCGATATAAATGGAGTGAGAAAATTGCCCGCTGATGATTGCTTTCTCTTGCAACGACCTTTCTGAGTTTCTCTTAATGCGCATGCGTTGCCGAAAATTCACGCGGATTAACGTCTCTTTTCTGTCATCAATGAAGTCAGATTGGCTGGCAACCGAAATCTGAAACCTATTCAATTATCTATCTTACCATTATCCGCTTTCATTTTACACGCCGCTTACAAAGATTTCATTTGAAAAGAAACAGTTGAAATATTCAGACATGCGGAAAAAAATAGGCGAGTTTAAAACTTAGACGGCGTAATGAAATAAAAATTATTTTTTCTAAACTTTCAACATGTCTGCGTATCTATCTAAATATACTTATACTATATATATATATATATATATGGGGGGAGGTTAATGCGTGGGGGTCATGTTTGTGTGTGCGTGTATGTAATTATGCGAAAATGTATCAGTAAGTAAACCAGCTCGTATTTAATTTTTAACTGAAATTTTATCTGAAAATTTCACTGTATTATGTGATATCTGTTTGAGTGAAATTCAATAAAAAATGAATAAAATAAAAATCCGCGTTAATAACTAAGAGAATAGCCGAAAGCACTCAGATACATAAAAGATCTGAACAGTTTTTACACACTATATGTTTAGATAAAATATTTGTAGAAATGAAATAATTTAATAAAAAAAAGCTTGTTCGCATTACCTTGTCATGCATATATATATACTCGAAACTCCCGTCGAATTCAACGTATGAGGGTCAAGCAGATCAGTTCTTAGGAAACTGACAGCCCGACAAAAGCACAAGAGATTTGATTATAGTGGTGAAGGTTTTGTGCAGAACCATCTACATTTTTGAAGGGCCGAACACAGAGACATGGTGCACTACGTGCCACAGGGTCCCCAAACAACCCTTCGCAGGTTTTGAATTTAAAGTTTTCCTTCTGTTAGACCAATTGCCATCAAAGGCTATAGAACGCAGTCTGTCCTGCTATTTACCCATAGCTGGAGGGAGAAGGAGAGGATGCACACCTTTCCCAAGGGTATTAGCGCGTATTAACTCTCCGATTTCTCAATCCAAGCCGCTATCCATTACTCCCACGTGCTATATATATATATATATATATATATATATATATATATATATGTGTGTGTGTGTGTGTGTGTGTGTGTGTGAAAAATATATAGAAAATCGGAGAGAACTCGTTAGGTAAATAATCCAAAGTTCTTTAGTATTTTTGTTAATATTTTTTAAAAAGTGTAGCGTCTTGGAATCATATTTTTAAATAAATAATTATATATATATATATATATATATATATATATATATATATATATATATATATATATGAAAATATATAGAAAATAGGAAGGAACTGGTTAGGTAAATAATCAAAAGTTCCTTAGTATTTTAGTTATTATTTTTAAAAATAGTGCTCGATACAAAAGTAGAGCATAAATATAATTATTTATTTAAAAATATGATTACAACTCGCGACATAATTCGTCTCATGTTTCAAAACAAGAGCCGAAAACTTCAATATAATTATTTGAATTAAACTGATTTAAAGTAAGCTCTGTTTCATCTATATATATATATATATATATATATATATATATATATATATAGCTTAAACATTATTTTTAGTGGCTTTTCGTATTTGAGTTGTCACCCTTTTTTATTTACTAAACAGTATATATTTTTGCTCTACCGGCCTGAATATTCGAGAAATCCGTGTCTGTATCAAGAGTCAGAGAAAATTTTCTTTTTAAAGGCACTATTCAAATTTGTACGACGAGCGATGTCCATTGTGGCCGCGTGGTTAAAGCGCTTCAGATTTAATAATCGTTTCTTCTAGCAGAACGGATGTTCGATTCCAAACGGAGTGTGCCTTGTTTTTTTGGTCTAATAAGATTTCTCTAATATTCAGGCCGGTTGATAATAATAAATAAATATACTTTTGAATAAATAAACGAAGCATCTACACAGATACGAGTATCCACTAAAATAACGTTTGTCATAAAAATGTTTCATATTAATAAATAACATATCCATCCCCTTTCTTCACATACATACACACACACAGACACACACACATATATATATATATATATATATATATATATATATATATATATATATATATATATATAATTATTTATTAAATAATTGCTCTAGCCGTTACCATAGTAATTTTAATAATGAATATGCTTATAAAAACGCGTAAATTTCAAGATTTAGTTATTTCAAACATTTAGCTTGAAGATGGAACAGAGCTTGGTACTTTAATTCAATTTAATTCGAATAATTATATTGAAGTTTTCGGCTCTTGTTTTGAAATATGAGAACTCTTATGTAAGGCGATGGAATCATATTTTTTAAATAAATAATTATATTTATGCTCTACTTTTGTATCGAGCACTATGTTTTAAAAATAATAACAAAAATACTAAAGAACATTGGATTATTTACCTAACGAGTTCTTTCCTATTTTCTATATATTTTGACACACACACACACACACACACACACATATATATATATATATATATATATGTGTATGTGTGTGTGTGTATGTATATATGTCGAAGTGCGTGCATGTACATATTTTTAATTCAAAATATTCTTTAAATCAAATTCTTATATTAATTTCCAGCATACCTTTCTGTTAAATTCCTAATATTAAAATATCATAAATTATCAGGTTTTTAATAAAAATTCTGTTGACATTAAACTCTCCACTTTCCTTTGTCTTTTCATACATGAACTTTTTCAATATTTTTCATTAAATTTATTGGAGGCTTTTCATTTCCAAACTTCGTATTCGCTCTTTTTCATTTCGTCCCAATATGAAATAAATTGCAATCATTACAATTTCCCCTTTAAGTCCTCAAATAATAAAAAAAACAAAAAAACGTTACAACGTTATTTCTCCTAGTTAACGACTTCCATGCCAAAATCTCATTTTTTTTTTTTTTTTACTTTAATTTCTTCGCTTACGATTTTAGATAATTTTCCATTCTTTCACTTCAACTCCGCTGAATTTAACTCACGGTCCCGTATTCCGAATCCTCGTCGCAAAACACACAAATTAACTAACTGGTAATAAACTATCCTATTCCCAAAATGCCCATTAATTCTCGTACTCCCGGCTATATCACGTTGAAACACCTGTTCTTGTACGATCACCGAATTTAATAAACGTCGAGCCTGGTCAGTACTTTGTTGGGTGACCGCTTGGGAGTATCAGATTCTGTAAACTTGGATATGCGAGTGGTATAATGTAGAACAGGACTGGAAATAGGATAAGATAATTCCAGTTGTAACCGCGTTTGCTATATTAACCCAAATCCTCTTGGGAAAAGTATGAGTATGCCTCTTCTCACCCTCCAGCTATGGGTTAATTATTAGGGCCTGTATCATTAAATCATTATTATCTCCAAATGTTTCTTACAATCTAAAAATAATTTCTGGCTTTAAATAACCAACAAAATGTCGATAATCCATAAAAAGAAGTCAATCAATCAACCAAGCAATCAATCCATTACTTTTCAAACAACACTTAACATCTAATCCATTCTATGTCCTCCGGTGACATTCATTTCTTAACAATTCATCCGAAAATCACTTAAAACCGATATTTTTTTTACCGCTGGACGAATCCCCTGTTAATCTACGAGGGTAATTACAAAATAATATCCTACCTTTTGTCGTAGCAGTTAACATAACAATAATGCTTATAATTTTTCACTTTCCCTCGTATTATTACAAATCTTGTTTGAACGACTTCAAATCAATACACACGTCTCACCGGAAAAAAATCTCCCGATAATACACTCTTATCCTGTTTTTACGATTCCACTAAAAATCATTGTACTTTGTTTCTTTTTTAATACTTTTCTTTTGTTGTTTTTATTTCTGATGTTTTCACTTATCATCCATTCTCTGTCGCTCACCATTGCTATTTAATTATCCAAATTAGTTTTATTCAGGGCCACCCCGATCTGAACTGTTTAGCCTAACAACATGCTAATATCCATATATATATATATATATATATATATATATATATATATATATATATATATATATATATGTGTGTGTGTGTGTGTCTAATTTTTGATAAAGACCCCCCCCACACACACACACACAAAATAACGAGGAAAATAAAAAAAAAATAGCGAAGTTAGATGGCCATTTTAAAGAGCCTTGTAAAAGCCGGTTCACCATCCTGTACGTATATTCAACCCCCGACCATCTCCAACTATATAACCCATCACTTCACTCCCACCTCTACTCTATTCCAACCACAACCTAGCGCATTTGGCCACTGAATTCGATATGGATTTCAAAATGGCCGTAATTTCCACTAATTCACTATTGGTACCAAATCTACTAAAATCATACGAAGATCCAGTTGTACTTAAGTTAGCCTTTTGCCAGGATATTGTATTTAAATGTTTAACTCTTTATTATTATTTTATTTTTTAAAATCTTTTTTGGGTTTTTTGTTGTTGTTATTCTTTCCGATGTCTTCACATATCATTTCTTCTCTGTCCTTATTTTCTATTTTCCATTATTATTTACTTATATAACTTATATCCCCCTAGCCTCTCCACACCCAAATATGCTTACGCGCTGTTATTTATCAATGCTGAAAAAAAAAAGTTTTACCATCCCGATTTTTTAGTTGCTAGTAGGCATTAGATCTTATTACAATATGAATTCTTTACCAATTTGTTTACAGTTTAATAGGAGTCAATAGTCAGTACGGTCTGCACTCTTTCTATGACTATTCAACAAGAGTAGAGTTTCATCATTTTCTCTGTTCAGGATATCCCTTTCTTTCTTTTTTCTCTCACCAAGGCTGCAATGATTTAACTGCCATAACCTTTTGGTAATCAGACTAATCAATGTCTGTGACTTTCCATGAAGTTACCGGGTTGACTGTTTCCGGGCTGCTGCTTTCGACTGGTCGTTAGGAGCCCGTATGTTTTGGTAGCGCTTAGAGTAGCTACTTTGATCAACAGTCTCATAATATCGAGATATCTGTAGTACCATGTCACGCATAGGTGTCCCTTCATTTATTTCCGATAGCCAACATTGAGGTCACCCCTTTGCCAAAAGGTTCCAGCATTCACATGCACATGCATGGCATTGGTGTTTACATCAGGGATTATTTTTGATAGCCAGAGACTTGTTTCTCGCAGACGCTGACTACTGATTCATGTGCTTACGTCTTTCGCTACTAAACTATTTCAGCTATCTATTTTTCTATTATCCCCCCTCTCTTCCAAAGACTGCAGCATATTAGACGCAATAGCTGGCAGTATTTAAAAAGGCACTTTCTCTTTATCCATCTGCGAACATCTTTGTCTTCGCTGACTTTATTGCTCACCACGACACGTGGTTAAAACATTCTAAAAGAACTGATGTTGTTGGTATATAGATATTACATTTTTCCATTGCCCAACTGCTCACTCAAATCGTAGACTTCCCTACTCATTTCTCTAGCCAAGCCGTGCAACTGGCTTCTCTACTGGATCTATTTCTTTCCCCACTCTTGTAAGCTTCGCAATAATTCCCTCCTGGTAACTCACGCCATTATGTGGTAGCTATTGGTATCTCCTCCCAAGCATCCATTAAACAAGAACACCCTATTCATAAGACCTCTTTCCGTGAGTAGCATGATGACTGGAACTCATTCCGGGATTTTCTTCGTGACGCTCCTTGGACTGACATCTTCAACATTCGAATTGAAAATTACACCACTGTCATACAGAAACCACTATTTCCGCCTATACCAGCGTAATAGCTCTAATCATAACAGAAGCTATTTGCTGCTGCCCGTAACAAAAGAGCGTCCTCGGAGATAAGTCCCTGTTTGCATAGCCTCTAAAAGCTTTGGCTGTCATGATTACTGTTGGCTCTGTAATAGGGTACTAAATAAGGTTATTTAACTTACCTTCCCGTGAGTCAGGGTGTGGCACAAGGCCGTTTTTAATGCGAGGCAAAACCGAGCCCATAGGCTCGGGCAAAATTCCCCCTAGACCTCGTATACACGGGGTCGGGTAGCTGTTTACCACCCCAGGCGAGACTCTGCCCTTCGGCATAGCTTCGTCTGGGTTCCTCACTGCCCGAAGGCAGAGGGTTCGACCTGCCCAGCTGGAGACGAATCTCCAACTAATTGCCGAATCAAGTCCTAGGATACTAAATAAGGGCAATGTATCTATACCCCTCTTCAATCCATTTGAGGTGTTATCATTCTCTGATGATAAAGCTGAATGCTTTGCCCGTAAACACTCCCCAGACTCTACTCTTGACTCATCTGGAGTAATCCAAGTTAATTTTCCACGTAGAACTGAGTCTCTGTTGAGTGATATGCATATAACCCCTTCCATGGTTTCTGCTGCCATCTCTAATCTGGATCGCCACAATGTATGCGAACCAGATGCTAATAGTCATTAAGAATTGTGCTTTCAAAATAGCTCCTGATTTCTTTAAACAGTATAATAAATACCATGCTGCCTCCCGCTTTCCAGCATGCTGGAGTCATCATTTGTTGTTCCAGTTTTTAAGAACTCTGGTGAACCGTCCGACCATGTAACTATCGGGCTATTAGCCTTCTACTTCTTGGGAAGCTCCTAGTGACCCTAATCAATGCTGAATTGGTTCATCATCTCTCATCTCAGTGCCTTTTCTCAGACAAGGGATACGGCTTTCGTTTCTCCAGGTCAACAGTTGATGTGCAAACGATAATAGCAGAAAATATGTCTTGCTCTAAAATGGTGATGCCCGAGTTGTAGCACTGTACATCTCGAAAGCCTTTAACAAGGTTTGGCATTCAGGACTTCTTTACAAGCTGAAAAGTTACGGTATCTCCTTGCACATTTTTGAGCTGATCCAGTCGTTCCTATCAAATCGTAAAATGAAAAGTGTCGTAAACGGCAACTCGTCTAGATTCTTTCGTACTAACACATGTGTCTCCCAGGGTCCCTTCCTTCATCCTACGCTGTTTTTAATCTCCATTAACGACCTTCCTGATGACATCAGCTCTCAACTTGGCATCTACACTGGCAACACTGCCATTAGCTCCTGCCTCGATAGCAAGGCTGTCATTAACTGGTGCAAAAGTTGGCTTGTCAATTTTAGCGCTTCCAAAACTAAACTTCTTACCGATAATCATCTGAGAGGCGCCTCATCGCTTTCTATCAGCATTGCTGATGTTACCATCCAGCCAAGTGACTTAGTGCGCCTTCTCGGGCTAATGTTCTCAGCGGACATGAAATGGAAAAGCTATATTCAATACATTAATAGGTTAGCTGGTAAGTCGGTTCACTCAGTCAGGCGTGACAATTCTTCTCTCCAGAATCCATCTTGAATATCTATAAGTCTATTATTCGTCCCTGTTTAGTAAAATGCTGTCATATATAGTCCGGTTCCCCTGCAGTTTAACTGGAGCTAGTTGAAAAGATCCAAAGAAGAATCAGCAATATACCTGATCTGGTGGCTCGGCTTCAGTCACTCTCTCACCGCCGTAAGGTTGCCACTTTCATGGTAGTTGTTTGGATAAACTCTTCGCTGTGATACCTAGACTCTATGAGTTTAAGGGCAACGCTAGACCGGGGGCGAGTCCTCATCAATTTACATTTGAGCTCGCTAGATGTATCCGTAACTTCTGTGCTAACAGTTTCTTTTCTCGCACCTCTCGTCTGTGGAAGTCCCTCCCTGGCCCATGATTTCCAGGAAAAACTTTAAACTGCAATATTTTAAATGCAATGTCAATCGCTATCGACTATCCTCCTGATTGCTCTTTTGTCTTTCTACTCATTACTAATGTTTGTGTTCCTAATTCCTCAACTCCCTTTAACACTTTGATTGTTAGTGTCTGGAGTGCCTTGCTTCGGTAGATACCAAATGGACAAATCTTCAGACATTGCGACATTACTAATTCTTTTCCGCTTTTCAAAACTATCCGTCCCCGTTCTTATTTATCTGGCTGACGTGTGTTACACACTCACTAAAATAAGAGAGGGTAAGAGTTCGCTCGAATAGACAGTGGACCTGTTGCCGTACTTCGTTGGATCAAGGAAAATCACTATCATAGTTGTGTTGACATAATATTCAACTAAATCGACTTCCTGTGGTGCACCAAACTGAGATCATTCACAAAACGCAACATTACAAACCGTTATGTATTTTAAATTTATTTTAAATATAATTTTTATAGAGTTTAATTTTTTTAAAACATTCCAA